TGATGTTTCGTCGGACGCTAATAATAATAATAATAATAATAATAATAATAATAATAATAAGCTTTATTAATGTGTCAATGATACCTAGTTTACATGTGGGTAAACTAATTGGGAACACCTATCTAACCCTATCTAAGTATTAAAATATATCTAAATGAATTTGCCAAAGACATTTTCAAAGTTCCTCAAAAAGCAACATACGAATAAATTTCTCTAGTCGTCGGAAGGACTAACGTCCGAAACGTCAGTAGGTTTTTTCATCTTTTCACGGTGTATGATTTACCTTTTTATCATTATTGTTATTTTATAGTTAAGTGGTTTTACGAGACGTCGTTAAAAGTAATTTTTTGGCAGAGGTCTTCGTGGAGGATTGTGGGTCCAGTCTACATYACCCACAATGCCTTGCCTCCGTGCAGTTGTGACTGGTTCCTTAGCAACGGGATACAGGACATCTTTACAGCCATCTCCCTTGCCCATGTTCAGCGTACAATCCACGTACTTGTAGATGCTATCTTTCAAGTAGCTCAGGGGAGACGATCCTTGAGACAGAAGATAAAAGTGAAAATCCTTCAAGTTGAATTTGTCGTTGAGTTTCTGTTTGGCGTAGTCTCGAAGTGACATGATGTGTAGCTGACCAATCATATATGCTGTAGCCTGTCCTGGATCACTCTGGTAACGTGTGACTTCCTTTTGTGCACCATCCGAGGTGTCCCATGCGTACTCTGCGAAGAGGTCCAACGCCTTCTGACGAGAAAAACCTTTGTAATGAAGTCCTGTATCAACGATCAAACGAAGCGCTCTCCAAACCTAAGAAATGTGGATTTTTAAAAAATAACATTAGTTAGGCACCTCCCCGACAAATTCAATTCACTCTTTTTACTTTGTATTCATGAAAGGATACGTTTTTAGTTTTCAGCTCTCTAAAAAAACGTTTCTCCTTTTCTACCTTCCTTCTCTCACCCTCCCTCCTTCCTTGGATCCTTTATTCACTTCCTCGCAGTCTATCTACCACTGTCCTTCTCTCTTCTTCTTCTTTTAAAGCCTCATCCCTCAACCCAGGCTCCCTCTCTTCACGTGATACAGCTAAAAGGTTTCCTTATCAAACACACCTGCCATTTCAGCATGCCATATTTTTGGAAGGGTTCGTTCTCATAGGTGTCTGTATCTCTTGCAATCAATGGATTCTCAGCGTACAACCCCCAGCCCTCTTCAAATGCTGTGATCGACAACCAGGAATTTAACCAACCTATCGCGCCTTTACAACTGTCCTGAAAGTGCTCTACAGAACCTTGAACCTATGAAATATTGTAGAGCAATTCAAAGTTGAATGCAAAATTCAAAAAATTTGCGGTATGGATAGGAACTAGATTGCTTAAAGACCTTTGGAGACCTTTGTCTTAAAGTGCCTATAACACATAACTCGAAATTTTCTGATTTTAAATGAAGTAAAAAGTTAAATAGTAAAATATTTTTATATGTTTCGAGTGATGCATCTTGGAGATATCAAGGTTTATACTTCCAATATGTTAATGATGTGATGTCTTAGGAGGCATTATTGAATATACAAAACTTTTCTGGGGCAGTAAAATATCCTGTATATAACTTCATTGTCTTACTTAGGATTTAAGCTGATTTAAAGAAAGGCTCTAGCAAAAAAATCTCATAGTAATCAGTGTTTCAATTTCCATGTGATGGCAGATAAACTTAAGGTATTAGGATACGAAAAATGACGAATTGCCCGAAAAAAAATTTTCTTTTTAATTTTGTAATTTTAAACTTTTATCTTTCATATGTTTGTGAAA